GGCCGTACTGACATGCTAAGCTGAGTGGAATATGATCGCTCTCGTCCGACGGTTCAATGCTGACATTTGTCTTTGAAAGCAAAATCTGAACGCATGCAGTGTGGCCGTTCATGATGGCATATATAAGAGGATGAAAACCGTCATGATCCACTGAAGTGATATCAGCCCCATGAGCGAGCAGGAACGTGGTTGGTTCCGAGTACCCATGCATCGTCGTATAATGTAACGGCTGTCTGCCGTAAGCGTCAGTGCAGTTGACGTTCACCCCCTTCTCGACACATAACCGCATAACTTCGAATTTACCGGAAATTGCTGCTTCGTGAAGACAGCTGCGTTGATTGATATCGTCACAATAATTGAAGTTGATCAAGCCGGTGGACGCCAACAGAGTCGTCATTTCGGTGCTCGATCCTTGGCAAGCATGCCAAAATACGCGAGATAACCTCTCCTTGTCTTCAGCGGAAGGACGTTGACTAATACGACTTAGAATATCTAACAACATCGTGCTCTCGTTCTGCGATACTGCATTATACAAGTCGAGTTCAATGTCGTTTAAGGCTGCTTCCGAAGAATTGATTAAATATAATGCTGGCTTTTCCAGTTTCGGACTCTCCGGCATATCAGACAACACAACTCCGTAACCGTCAGCAAGATTTTCCATTTCCAGCAGATTGGTGGCAGCAATATCCGCCAATTCTGTAAGGACTTGCGCATTGAAACACGGTTGTATGTCGATCTGGCGAGATAAATAGAGCTCCTTTGTGCTTGACTTTGATCTCTTGTCCCACTTTTTGAGGATTTTCCGAAAACCTGTTCCATTGAGCTCAACAAATTTCTAAAGAGAACGGAAGCCGGCTTTAGCGTCGAACACATTAAGTTGGCCGAAAATGCTTACTTGAAGCTTGTTGAGATCATGCTGGTACTGAACAAAGGCCTCACGAAGACTGTTCAAGCTCGTTGTTGCCTGATGTGTGCTCTGCCGGGTAACAGGCTCTACAGGATTACCTCGGCTTGGACCGGTGTGAAGAAGCAGTACGCGTTTTTTGTCGACCAAAGTCCGTAGACGAACTCGCAACTCATTCTCTTTTTGCAGGTAGAACGTATTGATCTACCCATGGCATCAATTCCGATCGCATATATCATCCACCTTACTTACTTTCTCTAACTCTCTTTCCAATCTGAAGAAGAAGGCAGCTTTCTGACTTTGAAGGAAGCGTACGCGCGCTTCTTCGCCTTCTGCTCCCGGTTGGTTAGGCGCATGCTTGACCAACGAATTGATGATCTTCTTTAAAACTTTGTAATTGAGGTAATGCGCAGACCATTCTGTCAGTTGCTGGGATTGGATCTGCTTTCCGAACTATATGTGAGGGCACGCGTCAGTTTTCCGGACGACAAGAACAAGCAATAGCATATGTGACACTTGGTTGCAAAAGAAGACACGCTAGCATCACGCGAGCTCCGCATCCACGCCGCTAGTTCTCTCCATTGGGAGAGAGAGGCATAGGTATGCACCGTCGCTTATCACTATGTGAGCTTACCTTCATAACTTGTCTATTTCACCAACAGTGAGGTCAGTTGCACGATTAGGTAACAACTTCGGTGATACTAGGGTCTCCAAAGTTGGTAAGCTACAATACTCGTGTCAAAGGCTGATGTAGACGCCACATTGCCATGACTTTACCTCGTTGAGCAAGTCCGAACACTCTAAACAGATCGGTGGTTACTCCACGCACGACAAGACTAAGACGGAAGCTCAGGAACCGGTACCAGCGTTCAGAAGCTCTAGTGGCTTGGAAAGGGCCTCGCCGAGCACTTACATGCCAGTGCACGTTGCTGTATGCTCCAAAGTCATTGGCTGAAATAACCCTAACCCAATCACTTGGCGCAATTTCTCTCTATTGTTTGATGACAACGCGTCTAATGTTGAAGGCGAGACAGACAATCATGACAATCATGCCATAACATGCTAAACCTATGGCAATTGCTTTTGATTTGGTCATGGGTTGGTTCTCTTGCAGTTTGTAGTAAAAGAGGCCGGGGAGAACGAAGGAGATGATGGTAGACCCTGTAGATCCGACGAATGATAGCACAATGTCAAGCTCCAGGCCAAACATGGCAATAAGGTATGAAAAGACCAGAATGCCAGTTGTCGTCCAAAACCATTTGACTTGAGAAGGTGCTGTTGGTACTTTGGTTGCGGACTCCACGGAATGCTTGCGATACGACAGAACCTTGTCCAGTGAAGCGCGACATGGGTGGGCTTGAAGAGGGTAGCTGAAGAGTACCATGATGACGATGGCTAAGCGACCGACTGTGATAAATATAGACACGGGATCTGTTCGACGTCAGCTATATAAGCAAGATGCAGAGTATCACAAGCAAAGGGACCTTACACTCAACAATGACATTGGGTCGGACGGCATTTCCAAAGGCAATGTACCCAAGTATACCAATGGTTTCATAAATGCACACAGCTGAACCTATTGAAGCTTGAATGACCTTGTTCACCATCGGCTGGGAGTTATCCGATAATTCATTGTATACTGTGAACATCTACGAATGCGCGTTTAAGCTCTCATAGACGCTCAAATACACGGAACCTACATTCTGATGACATGTGAAGGCGAAAATAAGGACGGGTAAAGATGTGAAGATTTTTGACGAGAATCTGGCAATATTCACCTCACTTGCTGTATCAGTCGGTGTGCTGGGCCCGATAGAGTTCCAGATGACAATTGCTATTAGGTAGACTACTGCGAATAGTGCAATGATGCTGGTATATTTGAGTGAGTCTAATTTGCGTAAAAAGGAAAGCGGCACCACGATCAGGAGCATGAAAATGGTGAGCCAGAATCTTCCGGCTACCAATATAGAGCCACTGTCCAGGGATATAAAGAATAACGAGTGGGCAACTTGAGGCATGAGGTCGCTGATGATGATTAAATATGAGATGGCTACACCGAAACATTTTATAGCGATGGCGAGATCGAAGAAAATGGCGGCTTTGGGATATGTGACTTGTGATACAGCGAAAAAGGATGCGTTTCGACCTGGAATGTGCCGAGCCGCTTGTGTCAAGAAATAAAGACCGCATCCTGAAGCGGTGCCGCAAAGTAATATGAGTAGAATACCCGGTATAATTCCGACCGATGCAATTGCTGATGGCTTAGTATGTAAACATGCGTTAGCACCGAGTTTTAGCGCGTTGAGCAAGCTCTTCCTACCATTGCCAGCATGCCCGTCCCCAAAATGGTATTTGCTAGGTTGACCGACCCGCTCAGCACGCTTGCAGAGGCCGAAGTCACATTGCTATAGCCATGTTCTGGTCCGGCCAGCTCATATTCGTCCTCCAAAGTATCCGGTTCATATACAGTCGCTATCTGCCAGATGGAGTTGTTGGAGTGCCGTGTTAGTCGCGCTTCGCGTGGGGCTTCGTGGATCTCTAGTGCTTTGGCGTCATCTTGGACCTTTGGATGAACCTGTAGCTCTATGGCCTGAGTGTCTATATCCTTGTTCAGGTTTTCCGCCGGATCGTCTTGCAGCAGAACATAGGTCGCCATACACCAAAAGAGCACGGGAAGAATTCTTGCACGTGAGTCAGAACCGGGTTTTTGGCTGGTATGGTGAGTGACAAATCAGCAGAGCACAGCAAGGAGCAATCGGCGCTATTAGCGTCCGAAATCTATGGCAAGCATGCTTCCAACACCTCCAGTGTCAAAGCCAAACCCCACCGGTGCAATGGACATTTGGAAGATGTCTTACAAGGAGTGACTCACTGGCCAATGGACGTCTCTAAACCCTTTGCCGTTTTTTGGCAGTGCTTACGCAGCAACCCTGGTATGTTGAACGCTGCTGTTACTCAGCACGCGCTGCAAGAATCGAAACTAAGCATTATGTCTATTAGGCGAAGAACCACCGAGATACTCTGTGAGCAAAACCCAGTAATATCGAGTCCACCTGGCATCTCCAAAAGCATCTTCCGCTCCCTGTCAGTGCTGTGGTAGGCACAACATCACCTTGCTTCACCACAATGAGGATCATGTACGATAATGAAGGATGACATAGAGTTATCTTCAATTGACATTGCTCACTTGCCATTTGGGCCGCACAAGTGAAGGGAGGTCGAGTTGGTCCATAGGACAACACTCAAGTTGGAGAATGGTGGTCTGAAAGAGATTGAAGTCTGCAAGCGGTGCTCATTCGACATGTATGTACGTGATACGCAGGTTGCTGAAAAATGATGCAGCAAAATCGGTTAGGCAAGATTTCGGCGAATACAAGCTGCAGCATATGTACAATCACGTCAATCAAGGAACATGAGCTATCCAATAATGAAAAGCTACTGAATCTCTTGATGTGGTTTGGGTCTAAGGCCACATAACAAGAAACACACGCAGAGGATCCTTGCTACAAGCAGGAATAGAACCGGTTGAAGACTCGATGAGCTGGTGGAACTGAATGTTGTGCCACCTTTGACGTTCTCGTGATCCTGAGAGATGATCTACTAAAAATGACCGAACGTGTTACTACATGCAGTCTCGATTTGTGCTCAAGCATGTACAGAATGTACAGAAGATGATTCGATTCTTGCGCAAGACCAAAAAGGAAAAGTTTCTTTATCTGCATTTGCCAGACCAAAAGCCAGGGTGTCCAAGCAGGTACGTTGAAAGTTTGCTTGAAGAATTCGATGCAAGAATGTGATGAATCCGCAGCGCGCGGAAATGTATGGGCATAGAACCCCCGGAAAATAGCAAGCTCGAGCTCCTTTTTCGACAAGCACGACGCCAGAGTTGACACCTTGTCTTGCGGAGCTAGGGCTACGAAAGTTTAAACTTACCTATAAGCTGCATTCAGCTTTTGGAATGTCACAGCGCTAGCAGTTGAATAACTGGGAATGTAACGACTGAACTACCATAAAAGGAACTGCCTGATAGGGTTAGGGCTCGAATTTCACATGGGTAGAATTCATATAAGCCTAAACCTCAAAATTTTTACGTATGGCCTCCGTGGCACAATGGTTAGCGCGTGAGGCTTTTAACCTCAAGGCTGTGGGTTCGAGCCCCACCGGAGGCGTCATTTTTGGCCTACCAGATCTGTTGTCGGTTCTAGGTTGTTATGTGAAGCTTTCACTTTTTGCAAATCTCATCCCGCTGAATTATAACGAAAACTAGCGATGATTAAGCCATGCGAAAATATCCAATAGAGTGGTGATTGGTGACCATAATTGCAACCTCAGTTTACAACATAGTGACATTGGGCATTACAAGGGGATTGATCCAACTCAGATCTTGTCATGATTGCTAGATCACAAGAAGACATGCTCGACGTCAATTGACAGCAGGGCATACGCATGGTCTCAAAAATGACAGACGTGAAACGCATCGTCATGTTCGGGTCGGCATTATTTCCATGTGGTTCAGAGCCAGCTACGAGTGAGGCACGCAGTGACGCAAAGACTGTGTGCAGTCATACTTTCGCCTTACTTACGTTGTTCTCGTTCCATGTTGGCGGCGGATGTCCATATGCATCGAACGATATGATCGACGAATCACATTCGCTCTAATAATGTAAATTAAAGCAAATGAACGTCATTGGGAGATGGTCATCGAAGGTTAGCCATCGTGCCTCGTCGATAACATAGAACCTGTCTGCTATATATTCGCTCGACCTTGTAGACAAGCGGCCCAATAGGAATTAAAAGAAGATAACTTTACCCGAATATGCCGCAAGACTTGAAGAAAGGCGATGAAGTTCAATGGAAGTGGGTTGCGTGTATCACAAAGCCTGCAACAGCGTGCATGCTCATATTTCATAGGCAGCGGTACAGCTCATGGAGTTGTGGCCGAAAAGCAGACCTCCGGCAAAATGGCCAAAGAAATCAAGGGAAAAGATATTAGCAAGAACGCCGATAAAGAGAACCCGGCTGTCCATGTGGAACGCGAAGAGTCGGGAAAGAACCCGGTGGTAAAGAGGGCTAGTGAGCTTAGCAAGACCGAGTGACTTCGTGTCGACGGCGGACCACACGGAAGAGCATGTGAAATAAAACTAAGAATGAGCCAACCTTGGAAGCGAATGAAACAAGGAGGATGGGGAAGCAGGTGAAAGATTAAGACTATAACCTCCGGATCGCCTGTGATCCGTGGGTTGGTTTGGGGTAAAACTGCTAATAGTCACAAGTCTAGAAGCGCTTCCATGTTTTTCCATTCATCCTTTCGATAGGCTTTGTTCGTCTGAAACAGCCGTTTACGGTTTCTGTGAGAATCGCCGTGAGTCTGGCACCTCAAGATACACGGTTTCGGTGGACTCGAATTTCAGCAGTCCAGGGAACTAGATCCACACATGATGAAAACACCATCGGATTACCTAAACCATAAACTGAAATGAATGACAAATACAACACCCGATAGTACCCTAGCCAGGAAGGTGCGTTATGGGTTTTGCATGTGGCATGACAAGAACAGCCACATTGGGGTGACAAGATCTGGCGACCCCTTGTGGATTCTAAACTGACGAAAATTTTGTTTCCAAATGCGCGAGCCCTGTTTCGTAATCTTGGTGTTCAGCCATTTCGGGTGAAGGTGGCTTCCTATAGAAAGGTGACGCAGAAATCAGCGATGGGTCGGCGATGCCAAAGTAGGAAAAATACGTGGTGCATTCTGGCGCATTGAAATAGAAGGTCCCGAATAAGGGCTAGCGTGGCGCAATTTACGTGGTTGCGTCGCATGCTCCGTAAAGTCTGTCCATTCCGCCCAAACCTGTTTGGTTGCATGCAATTAGGTCACCCAAGGGCTTCGAACTTGGTTTCTGGGATCCAAATGATCGCGCATCGTTGTCATGCAGGGATATCATAGTACGCTTTCTGCCCCATTTGACAGTGTGCAAGTAAACTGATCAAGGGGGTTCGGCACATTTTGGTCACGCTTACTGCTTTGTAACGGATTACACAATGTTTCGTCAAAATGGGGATGACAATTGCGTGTGATCTTGCGCAAAAAGGCCAGGATGATCCAGCTCCTAATTCTCCTTTGCAAGGTAAAACAAGTATGTCTCAGAAAATTTGTGCAACCGGCCTATGGTCAGAACAAGTCAGATGGCGTTTGTGCCACGAAAATGAAGGCCAAGACAATGATCATCATGAGAGATTCTATACGCGTGTATATCTTTGTATATCTTACAATGGCGTTCTAAAACCCCGTGCAATACATCCTGCCATGTACAACCAAGGACTATTGATAGTCCAGACTATGATACAATATATCAAACAGAGAGATGACGTGGATTGAACCATTCCAGCGACTGCGTGGCCAACAATGCATCCGGCATAGCGAGATCGGATGACGAAACTTGATCAGCCATTCTCACAGACGGATTGAAATAGCCCCCCATTTGAGCACGGTAAGGGTGAGAATGGTCCCAAGGATTGAAGCGTGGTATAGAATCGAACCGCAGGGTTTCAAATGCTTCTTGATTCTGTCGAGGCACCATTGGAGGTGGAGTGAGATTGTATGTTCGAGGGAGTTGTTGTCGCTGCGGGTTTAAGGGGATGTTATTCCCATTCGAGTCTAAGCTGAATAGAGCATTTGCGTAAGGTGGTGAGATCTGTAGGGGGATGGTGTATTGATTTGGACGCATGTAATTAGGCGTCAAATGGGTGCGTTTAACGGGTCGAGGCGTGTAGACGCCGGGAATGTCGGGGGATGTAGTGGTATTGATGAGGGCGGAATTGGTAATATCATCAAAGGATCTTTTCAACTTTGACGGCGTTGTATATTGCGGTTGGGAGGGCGGGGTCATTGGAGGTGAGCAGGGATAGACGGTGTTGCGATAAGAATGAACGGGCATTGCATGGGGAGAGGGCTTTGCCAATGAACGGGCTTGCTGCACTGGGATACGGGAGATTCCCAATTGTTGACAACGCGCATGCCACTCTCCAAATTCCTTCTGCGAGCAATACAGATTGTACTTGAGGGCGACGAGGAATTCAATCTCCATGATATTGATTTCTCGCACATTCAGCTTTGATACTTGAGCCCAACTCTGTAACACATACGGATTAATTCATGCGCAGTCAACCATTACTGTATAAAATGCCAATTACCTTGTTGGAGTACGTGTTATCATTGAGGAATTTGTTGGCGAGCATCAAAGCTACTGTAAAGAGCCTAAACTCTGAGCCGGGAGCGCCTTTCACATCAGGATTGGCCCGCTTGAGTCGCTGTATATACTTGAGACTCAAACAAACGCAAGAGTCGGAAATTTGAGTTTTGGAGAACATGTAGTGGCAAAACTCTCCAAAGTGAGCAAAGGGATCTTTGTCATTTCGCTTGGGTTGAGCAGGATCGAACGGCTGATACCATCTCATGCACTCTTTACCGTACCACATGAATGGTACCATAAATGCGCAGAGATTGGCGAGCTGTATGGCCGTCGTCGCTGACATATGAGACGTAAGCGTCGATCGCTGAGCCATGGTTCTCTTAATGCACGCACAACAACCCAAGCAGCGAAGACAAACGTTAAACGCCCGTCGGCAGCCTTTTATTACAGCAGCATCGTCCTGGGCCCAAATTAGGTAGCGCCGGCAGCAACCTTTTTTTTTTTTAATTGTTTTCACCGATTTAAACTCACCTCCATATTCTCCGCCCCACCCCGACAAAAACGACCATCGCCACCTAGGTCATCCCCGTTGTGCATCTTGATTGGTGTGTCTGAAATTTTTAGCCCACATCGCCTGACCGAATGAGTTTCGGAATGTTTTGCACTGAAATTTTTTTTCCAGCGGATCCATTTCATGCCGTCGTGTCGTTAGGCGGCGCTTGTGTCAACATTGCCTAAAAATGGTGGGCAGGACACAGTCAGCATTGCGCAACGGTTCCCCTTAAATGATCTCCATCTTTGGCGGGAAAACCTTTTTGTAGGGGGTTGTGTCATCAGAACGCCAAGCTCTCTGCGGGAATCTAATCCTGGGTGCCAGTTGTACATTCTGTAAATTGCTTTGCCTATTTGCCCCAAGACTAAAGACCAAGACACACAGCCACTGTGACACTGCCGAGGAAATGATGACCGGCATGGACAGGGCCTGAGGAGATAAGATAGAGCGAGCGAGCGAGCGGGCGCGCGCGTGCGTGCGCATATGCATAGATAGAGGATAATATTAGACTATGTCCCCTGAGAGGGTTGAAGAGATCAGTGTCATCTCTCTCTGATGGGGATGCAACCGATGCTGCGACGAGCGGCCATCTCAGATCATGTAATTACGATCAGGTGGCGGCTGTTGCTACAGACAATACACCAGAGGCAGCTACACGTTAGCAGCTTTCAGGCTGAGAAACAGAGTTCAAAAGCTGCAGGTGACCAACAGGCGCAAAGAAAGGAAGAACACCATGCAGTGGTGTCCACCTTTGATCTCTTCTCGATTGGAATAGGCCCCTCCTCAAGCCATACAGTAGGTACGCGTTGTTAGGTGCACATGTACGCGTTCATATTGAGTTGGAACCAGGCCCAATGCGAGCCGCCAAAATCTTTGTCAATGATCTAAAGGCCCACAATGCTCTTGCACGCACGGCGTCCCTGCGCGTGGATCTGTTTGGATCCCTGGCATTGACCGGCAAAGGTCATGGTACACCCAATGCGATATTGATGGGTAGGTACATGACTTACACAGGTCCTAGCTGACCGCTGTTAGGCATCGAGGGAGAATCTCCGGATACCGTGGAGACAAGTTCAATCCTATCTCGCGTTCAAGACATGCACACTACACGTTCGATTCATGTCAACGGCACGCATCGCATTCAATTTGATCCTGAAAAAGATGTTGTTTTCAATCTGTTCAAGCAATTGCCGCAGCATCCCAACGGTATGCGGTTCTGCGCCTACGATGAAAATAAAAACTTGATCGCAACCAACGAATACTTCTCCATTGGCGGCGGCTTCGTTGTCAACGAGGAAACGCAATTGGAGCATGGCGAAAATGTGTATTATAAGGGTATCAACAAGACCCTTGCTTCAGTAGCACGCCGGGAACAAGATGCAGCAATAGCGACCTTACCTTTCCGAAACGCCGAAGAACTCTT